TCTCTCTCTCTCTCTCTCTCTCTCTCTCTCTCTCTCTCTCTCTCTCTCTCTCTCTCTCTCTCTCTCTCTCTCTCTCTCTCTCTCTCTCTCTCTCTCCCCTCTCTCTCTCTCTCTCTCTCTCTCTCCCCTCTCTCTCTCTCTCTCTCTCTCTCTCTTTCTGCTCACTCCTCAATCCCTCCCTCTTCTCTCTCTCTTTTTCTCTCTCTATCTATCTATCTGTCCGTCTGCGTCTGTCTATCTCTCTCTGTCTGTCTGTCTGTCTCTCTCTCTCTCTCTCTCTCTCTCTCTCTCTCTCTCTCTCTCTCTCTCTCTCTCTCTCTCTCTCTCTCTCTCTTTCTCTCTCTTTCTCTTTCTCTCTTTTTGCCTATCCCCCCCTTCTCTTTCTCTCTCACGCTCCGTATCTCCTCCCTCCCTCCTTCTCTCCTCTCTTTTTTTCTCTCTCTCTGTCTATCTGTCTGTCTGTCTTCTCCTTCTCTCTCTCTCTCTCTCTCTCTCTCTCTCTCTCTCTCTCTCTCTCTCTCTCTCTCTCTCTCTCTCTCTCTCTCTCTATCTCTCTCTCTCTCCCTCTCTCTCTCTCTCTCTCTCTCATTCCCTAAACTTCCCAACACCCCCTCCTCGATAGTGTAAGCAGTGTCCAGATCTCCGTCAAGCATGACATATGTAATGTCATATGACTAAAGTACAACGTCATATGACAATCTAATCTTTCTCTCACATGGCGCACCGAGTACCTCACCGAATATACGAACGCCACTCTATGCAAACGACTTGAATGAATTATCGATCTTTATGAGAATATTAAGCATCGTTGATATTTTAAAAGATGGATTTTCTATCCCCTGTCGACGTATTAGGTCAGAGGTATTAAATTGGAGAGCCCCGGACCTGGGTTTACGACATAAGGTCTCTGCATAAACCCCAAATTACGTTGTGGAAGACATTGATTAAAAAAATATAGTGATGGCAAACTTTCACTTTTTTTTTCTTAGTTGGCGATCACGGGGATGGTCCCGAAACATGCACCTTTACTCGTAGTCATATGATAGTCGCGTTGATCTGCTTTAGATTAAAGTTCTGAATTGTACTTTTTTCGTAAAAAATGTACAATTTAGTTTTCTCGTAATGTTGTGTGTGTATCGATATGTCTATAAGTATAGTGAATGATTGAATGACGATTTTATGTGTTTTTATATTTTTTTTCCTACACCACTGTCTATTTGTCTGCTGCCTGATACTTCCTCTCTCTCTCCCTCCCTCCCTCTCTCTCTCTCTCTCTCTCTCTCTCTCTCTCTCTCTCTCTCTCTCTCTCTCTCTCTCTCTCTCTCTCTCTCTCTCTCCATCTATCTATCTATCTATCTCTTTCAATGTTCCACTCCCTCCTCTCGCACTTTCTGGATGCGGTGTGTACATGCACGCGTGTGTACATGTGTTCTACTTCTCGAACTCCTTCCCCTCTCTCCTGCGCACTTTCTTCTTCTTCTCTCTCTCTCTCCCTCTTCTTGACCTATTCCTTTCTCACTTTATTTTTTCTCCCTCATAAGCAAGTGTAGTTGACCAAAAAGCCTCGCTCATTCCACTGAGCAAACGGACCCATTATGTTAAATAAACTTTTGGCTGGAACAGTTAGCAGACCCGCCATATTCCGAAAAGGTTGATAGACTTTTTCCCTCCTTTATGTTGTTGTTTCTTGTGCTTTTGTTTCCAGAGTTTCAAAGCTGTTGCGCCGTTTCTCTCAAAGGCGTATTCATTGTTTTGTTTAAGCGATTTAAATTTGATACTGTAGGAGCCAGCTGTTATTTTGTTTTATATTGATTTAGTTAGAATTACCTTTGTTGTTATTCTTTTTCTTTCTTTAAAGCAGATATGTATGTATTTAGATGCATATAAATGCATACGTACGTACATACATACAAACACACACACACACACACACATATGTGTGTGTGTATACATACACAAATACATGCATACATACACAAATATATATATATATATATATATATATATATATATATATATATATATATATATATATATACATAGTTACATACAGTACATATCGACATTAATACATATATGCATATGTACATACATACAAACGTCACACACACAACACACACAGAAGACATCAGCAATCTTAGCTGTCTTCCTTCAATAGTTTTAGCGTCGTTGATCTTGTCACTTTAATCTTGTGATCATAATCGGCATATCTATATGTACATGTTCTGCATAGCATTAAGTCCACAGTACGAATTTCGGTGTTAAATGCTGATCCACATTGCCGCTTCAAGGGTCACAGTTTAGTTAGTTGTCATGATCATTAACGGTTCGACCGGCAAAGAGTCGAAGCTTCAGAGGGATTAACAGGATGATGGTTCATACCAACAGGAGCCTCGAGTCATCGGTCTTCAACAAGGCCAACGAACTGCAGGAAGACATCAGCATGAAGCGCTTTGACCTCCGCGTCGCTCAGGTCCATCTTTCTGCCGTCAGGTCACAG